TAAAAATGAATACTTTATATTTGATTATCGTTTAAAAATGTTCGTATTTAAAGATAATATTTTCATACAAAATTTATTACGCACGTATTTGACTGTTCACATCTGAGTATGTATATGTAAGTGTACATACGCACCCCAAGCATGCAGAGCGCCGCTCTGAGAGCGGTGATAACACACACATACATAGTACATACATGTTTATCCATACAAATCGCGTGCTGTGGTGTTGATGGATATTCAACATTTGAAAGCGAATTTATATGCCTGGGTGTAGCTGAGTGCGCAAAGATCCTTGCCACAAGTTGATGATATCCGGAGATGGTTGCGTTCGAATTCCACTGCAGGCAACATGCAAACTAAATTTTTTTTTTTAGTTTTTGTCTTGGTTATGCACTTAACGGATGCTTTTTCAGAACGAACGCGGTCATTTTAGTATGCGCGTAATTGAATTGAATATTTACCAATATACAGTACTTTCGTTGACGTTTATAGTAAGATCAATTACGTTTCTATTTGATTTTAATATATTATATATATTAATATTTCCCTCAGTGTATCTATGCATACATATGGTCGATTCCACAGGAAAGTCCGATTTTTTCTTTCTTTAAAATACTGTACATATTGGTGATTATAGGTATTCACTATACCTGTCAGCTGCTTCTGATGCTAATTCTTATCAAGTCCAAGCATTTTGTGTTCAATATTTTGCTCCTTTTATAGAAAGATTTTTCTCGAACCTGAAAACGGTTTTCAACAACAAGGAAAAGTACAAAAATATAAGCTTTCCTCGATTTATTTTGACTGATGCAGTTCTGAACGATCGAAAATAAATAAGTTTAATAGGTTAGGTTCCAAGTTAGCGAGAATGTTGTTTAGAACTCATATAGAGTCGTAATAAAATGTACCGGAAATTTTAAGTGTAACGTAGTGAGTGAAAAACTAAAAAAGTTGCTTTTCGGATATTTAAGTACCCTTTCCAAAACGATATTATATAACATGTTTTCTTAGTATTGTCGATATCATACTGATGCCATATGCCAAAAAAAATGAAATCATAGCTGTCTTCGTTGCACAATTACCTAATAAATAAATGTAACGTGGCCAGTGTTTTTCTTTTTATATATGTAATTTTTTAATTAACTTCGTAACTATTCTCATTTCATTTTGGCAATAAAAAATAAGACATATTTAAGAAAGTATTTGCATGAACAATTGCGAATTGACCATTATACTGCTAAATTTTGTCAACTATTCTATTGAAATAAAGCGAAACTACCATTTGTAAAATATCCTTTGAAATCTTTATCTCTTAAGATTTTGACTATATACATATACACATTTGCCTAGAAGTCAATGAAATTGTTTGCAACATGTAAAACTGATAAGTTATCTGATTTGATAGAATCTGATACAAGTCTACAACAGACTATGTAGAGTTTATAAATCTATTTATTTTGTTAAAAACTGTTTATGCGAGAACAGCAATAAAGGCATTACATTTTTTTTTGTCTAAGATTAACGAAGTTGTAGAAACCACCGGATCTGTCCTTGGATGGCATTGGAAAAAAACAATGATTCAGAAAGGATTAAAAAGAAAACACACAAAATGGTACTTTCGATGAACTTTTGCATATTTTAAGTTATTAATCATAAGTGGTTTTGGCAGTAAAGTTAAATAAATATTATTTGCGACAATAAAAGGAAGATTTTCCGGTAAAAAATTTTAGTGTAGGATGATTTTTGACCTAGTTAGAAATTTTAAGGATAATCGAGTTATATTTTTTATTCCTGCAATAGAAGGTCCCAATTTTAGCTCAAACATTTGTTTATAACGTTTTGTGTTATTTAATGAACAATTGATTCATATAACATTTTATTAGTTAATTCCTAAGGTATCGGTTCCAAGAATGAAATCCCATTTTTGCACTCCATAAAATAGGAAGTTACATGAGATTAATAAAATAACTTTGGCACGTGCCCCTCGCTTTTTATGGTGAGAATTTTGGCAAATTCACAGAAAAACGTCACAAAAAAAAACAACTATAAAAAATTATTAGCAAAATGTGAATGCAATACATTCAATACCAATTAATCTCAACTCGCCCAGCCCACTGATTTGTTGTTAGTCGTTGTACCCGGCACGAAAACGCAACGAAACAAAAGCATTCGACATTATCTCCATATAATGACAACAATAAAAAAATAATGCCCGCATAAAGGAAACAATAATTTTGGCATTTGAAATGCTGCAGGATAAAAAGATACAATGACTGATAGATAATTCGTTACGCCTCCTTTTGTTGAAGCCTTAAAAAACAGCAAACCGACGAGCAGCTCAAAGCGAAAGGAAGCGAATATCCCTAAGCGATGGCCACAAAACTCCGAATTAACCCTCAAACTCAGCGGAAGGCAATACTGGGAAGTGGTTAGTTAGGAGAGCAGTAGAACTGGTTATCCGAATGAATTTGCTTTGGTTACTTTGCTTGTGTTTTCATTGGAGGATTTATGAGCGCCGCAAAAACATACCGCACGCAATAATTTAAACATGATTAGGAGTGCGAGTGTTATTACAGCTTCCAGCCCAGAGGGCTTATGGCCCTAAAATGAAAACAACAGCAGCAACAGCAGCAGCACTAGGCTGCTAACGTACTCGGCGCATAGTTTGAATAAAATTGAAACAGTTAATCCGGCTACCAAATCTAAAGCGGAAAACTATTAAATGCAACCAAAACAAAAGGTGAATCGTTTTCCTATCTAACTGCATACATATATTTAAGTATAGATTGTAATGAACTGTTAGGCTTTCGAAGCGCCAATCTTTTGAATTGCGCTGTGAAGGGTGAAAAAGTGATGTCACGGCACTCAAATCCATCCGACTGCTCATTATTTGGAATTTCACTTAGTTAGTCGTAGTAAAAAGGATTTGTTTATATTTGGTATTATGCGCAGGCAAATTAGTTTCAATGATTTTTTATTATACTCGTACTCGTAATTGGCCGGAATTTAATTGGAACGTAAAAATGTAGAACTTTTCTAGAAAAGATTAGGGCTGGCGCACGTGCTGAGTTGTGCTTATTTAGAAGACCTAGAATACCTTTGCACTATTTTTAAAGAAAAGGGGCTGTTTTGTAAGCTAACTGGCTGCGTTTCTATTTTTTTTTTTACAAAAGTCCCAAATTCTTTATATTCAGCTTCAGCAATCTATTACCATGTTTACACCGACACACAAAGCGTTTTGATCCAGTTCGCTGTGATTCAAAGCGGATGTGTAAACCAAATTTCAATGAGCTCAGAAATTTCAAATGAGGGATTCACAACGGTGTCGTATTGTTGTATGTTGTAAACTTTAAAAGCTTAAATAAATGTTTGGCAAACCTGAAACCACAACCAACTACTTTTTAACACTGCGAAAATTCATAATATGACTTTGACGACATAAAACAATGCGACACTTACGATACCGTTGTGAATACCCCAAAAGTGTATTCAGTCGAATTTGTTCTCAAATCGGAATTTTATTTTTCACATCGGTTAGAAAAAAGGTATAAACACATCACTCATTTAACGCGAATTGAAAATACTTAGGCCGGTTTCCTTTATAGAACCCGTTTTAAATTTGAATTATTGTTCTCTTCCATTTCGGTCAATCGCGTAAATTAATTTTTAAAGAAATAACGAAAGAAAACAAACAAATTTGTTTGATTTTGAATACGGTTTCAGCAAGTTCACTGTAAAGACACAGGTTTCTTGCTAACGCGGTTCTTGCGTAGGTATAAACAAGGCATATGTTTCCAGTTTCTGAAAAGCCGGGTCTGGTTTTTGGTAGCTACACCAACCGAGGACTCGATTACATCCCATGCTTAGTTCAAAAATTCAATTGTGGCATGTTATGTAATAAGTCGTCGTCATCCTGTCGCTGATAAGGTGAATTCCTACAAGGTTGTGTTACCGGATTAGCTGATTTTAAGGCCGATTGTTAAAATTATGGGTTTTTTTGTGTTCTGATTATCATTATATTTGTGCTGCGCTCTCACCTTGTATTCTCTGCAAATTTTGAATCAAATTTCTTTGAACGATTAAAAGAACTTTTATTCAGACTGAGCATTTGGAAACAAATGTACGTACTGCTATTTGCTATCATTTGTTAGGTTCCAGTAGAATTGCCTCCTAACGCAACAATATTGAAATAATAGGGAAATTCACTAAGTCTTGCAGAACACTGAGGCTTCATTGCTCTATTGTTGCATCTTGGGATTCCTGATAACAATAAACTTTTAAAACATTGCAATCGAATACGATGACTGCGAAAAGTGTTCTAGAGCGTATGAATGCGTTAAACATTTTAAGGTCAACTGGAAAAATTCTCTTGCCCTGGGTTCCAGGTAAGAATGTTAATCCCGGGGTCCCGTGATCCCGGACTCTTTAAGGTCTCGAAAATCCCGGGATTCTTGGCAAGTAATCCCGGGATTCTTGGGATTTGTAATTTGCACTGATGGCTATAATAGAAACTCCTTTTCTTGACCAGTATTGGATATATTTATTTTTTTATTTTAATAATTAATGTGTAGCTCATTATACATATAACACCGCGAGACAGTAAATTTTAAACCCAAATATCAATATATTCGCGAAATCATGGGCCAAATATAGTAAAATTGCGTTTTTAGTTTTTCACTCTGACGTCAGTGATTCAAAAATGATTTAAACAATTCAGAGAAATTGGCTTAGAGAAGAAGTATGGGTATAAAATTAATGAGAAAATTCTGTAGAATTTAAACAGATTCAGGTTTCTGGTGCAGAAGGGCTGGTAAATATTGAAAATGTCATTTTAAAATTTTATCCTTAAAATTTCGCAATATTTTTTTTTTTTTAATTATATGTTAAGCAAGTGCACTCGCTTATGGAGTTCTGCCTGCCCTACCCATCACTGTTCTAGACACACACCGCAGTATCTTTGTCTTTCATTACTCTTCCTTGTGTCATATTTTATTCCTTACCATTTCTCACTCGTACTCCTTCGCGTGTATCGCCCAAAATCGCTGAAACACTAAATTTTAATACGGGCTTTGTGTTGTTATCCTTCAGGATAGTTGTCTCTTTCTCCTCCACCTTGGGTAGTCTCAGCGCCTCCGTGTCGTGCAGCTCCATTTCATCATCACGTTCCGGATCGACCTCTGCATCCTCCATGTCATCGTCGATGCCAATTTCAGGCTCTTCTTCATCGTCCTCCACACTGTCAACACTCTCACTGCCACCATTCACAACACTCAAATGACAACACTTATCACATTTAAAATTGTTTTCACGGCGCATCATTTCATCACCGCTATAATTCTTTGTATTCATTA